GCTCCGCCCCGGCCTAGGCCTAGGCCCGGGAAGGCCGCAACGCCCCGGCCTAGGCCTAGGCCCGGGCGGGCCCGGGCCAAGCAGCGCTGTGGGCTGTAGTAGCAGCGTGTTTTCAGCTTCGGGTGGCTTCTCAGAATGTGCAGACCTGTTTTTTGTTTGGTTTTTTTTAAATACATGTGTGTGTAGACATAGCTATAAAAAAAAACAAATTAAAAAAAGCACCCCGGAAGAAGTGTCAGCGTCCCAAGCAGGGCTACAGCCCAGTTAAAGAGAAAACGAGACAGGGTGATAATCTGCAGGCGGTTATAATAGAGATTATTCCCCCCCTTCCCTCTAATGATCATGTATTTATATGCAGTGTATCAATAGCGGATTAAAAATAATATTGCAGAACTGAAAATCTGATTTATACATACTGGTCGCTTAAGCAAACAGCTGAAAGTGGTGAAGGAGCTAGAGGTTGATACAGAGAAATGATTGCTTAAGATTTACTTACAGAAAACTGTTTAGCAACTTATTTACTTACTTACAGTGGGGTTTAATATTGTTAAGAATCCTGCTTGCCCAGACTGTTCTGTGAGATTCTGCCGAGGACTACAGTGTTCATCGAAACAGCAGTTCACTGTGAAAATCTGCCAGGGGCTACGCTGTTCCGCAAAATATTATGCTCTGTCCTTGAGGAACAGGTGCGCTCTAACTAGTTGGAATTTTGCTAATGCGATAGTCATAGAGAAATGGTAGAAGTTCTGTTGGTTCTGTTAGATAAGACAGAAAAATAAACCAGCTGAAAAACACTTCTGTTATTCAAGAAATTGCCCAAGAGAATCTGCGCGTGCTCCGGGGAAAAAACAGGGTGAGAAAGACTACGAGCCTTCCTCCCAAAGACCCCCGGAGATGACCACCAGGAGGCTGTGGGCTGGTGCAAAGAGAACACAAACTGCTGACACCATTCTTTCTAACTAACCCAGCCCTACTCATGCATATGTATGTTTGTGTTATGGAACCTTATGGATATCCACACTCTGTAAGTTTTGCTAAAATGTGCGGTGGGTGTGCAAGCCTTGTGGAGAAATCCCCTTGCACCCCGGCCGGAGTAAACATACCTGCTGTATAACTATTCGAGTTGTAGCTTCTTTTTTCCACGAGTCAAGGTGTTCCTGCAATCCCCTCCCCTTTGAACACTTCCAAAACAAAATACCACAGACGGATGAAACTGAATCGGATGACCAGATTTACAGATTTTATTTAGATTTAGGTAAGGCACTCGTTAAGAAATACTTTTTTGTATGTACAACGTAAGAAACCGTGGGGCAAAGCAAAGGGCCCGTCACTGGGCCGGGAGCGGCTGGGCCATGTGCATGGCGGGGGCCTGCATGGGCCACCCCTCCTGGTGGTTCTGCAGCAGCCGGTACAGCTGCTTCAGGTGAGCCACGATGTTGTCCTTGATGTCGGGCGTAGAGATCTGGAGTCGCACGCTGCCGCTGTCGAAGGAGCGCGTGAAGTCACCAGAAAACATCTCGTAGATCATCCGGGCCACAACTGGAATGACCTGTTTAAGAAGACGTCGGTTGTTTCAGCCTAATGGTCACGGGGTATATTCCTGTTATTTTGCAGGAATTCCCTGCAGTGGATACCGGGGGTGGTTTCCACAATAACGCACAGCCTGATACTATTTGGCACACGGAGCGTTGGTATTTGCCGTGGCAAAACCCAACAGCCTTACCGGGGTTTCCCGGGGTCAGTAACGACCACCCAGAGCAGAACAGGTCTCTGGTACCCGGAGCCAACACCAGCCCCAGCAAGGCGGGCGCGTGCCACTTCAGAGCCTCCGCTCCTACCTGAACCACAATCAGCTTCCTCTCCCTGGGTTTTCCATCAGGCCATTCCTCTCCAAAACAGAAGTAGATCTCATATGGTGGCTGTTTCTCAATCTGTCCTTTCTGATGGGCAATCAGCTCTAGGAAGAAAAGCAGAATGCTGCGGGGTTGTCCTCTTTCGGTTAGAAACACTCACCACATCCCACCCTGCTGTATCATCCCAGGTCTTGCGTACACACTGTCCTTTGCTAGAGCCACCTCTTACACAACTGCAGCTTGTTTCTTGCACCCAGAAGAGCTTTCTTTAAAAGCAAGGCCCTCCCACGTTTTTCAGAGCGTTAAATGAGTGTACACTCACTTCCTTCTGACGCGTACCTGCTCCATGGTCCGCTGAAGTCGGGGGGAGCAGCGACCTCCACCCACGCCCCACAAACGAACGAGCAAACTACCTGGTGCATCCAGGCTGAGCCCCAGTGCAGACCACCCTTTCCAATAGTGCCACCAAGTGCCCAGACCAGTATCCAAAGCTATTTTCCAGAAGCAGAAGTTACCTACCACTTAGGAACGTTTCCAGACAGAAGAGTTTGACTTTCTTCTGCCTCTCGATCAAATTTGGTGTGGTGGAGGAAGGCGCACAGGGACCAGACCAGTACACCTTGCACTGGCAGAGCCGCACAGCGTAGATGGCATGGCCACTGACCTCCAGGATCAGTCCCCTGTCCATAACATCCAGCAGCCGACTTGTGAAGATTTTCTGCCTTTCATTGGTGATTTGCTCTGTTCCTGGGAACTTTACTTGCTCCAAACTAATAGGCCCAAAGAGCTCTTCCTGGTCTGGCATCGGACCCAGCTCTCCGTAGAAAAGTCTGCATCCCTGTGGGTTGCTTACAGTTGTCGTCGGTCCAGTCTCCTTCCCTCGATATTCAAACTTGATTTCTAGGTCTGTCACTGAGAGAGAAGCTGTCAGTATGGCTTTTCCTGGACCTTTGCATGGACTGCATCAGCAGCAGAGACACACCACACAATCCAGGCTACAGTCACAGGGATGTTTAAACTATACACAGTGCTCCATGCTAACAAGCAAACAGCACTGAAAAAAAAATCAAAACTTTTTTTTTTTTTTTTAAAAAGTACAGTGACAGAAGCGCTACAAATCCATATACATACTTGGCAGAGAGCTGATCCAGAGCTCGGGGCTGCTGAAGAAGTCATGCTGCAGCGCAGTTGGGGGCATTTCCATATCTAGAGGTTCATTCTTTGGCCACACAGCTTCAGAGCTGCAGTTTTCTGCACTGGCTGGAGCCATTGGAGAATCTACGAAAAAGGAAACAAATCTTCAATAAACCAAGGTTTTATTTCAAGCACGCACCAATTTACAAGCAAATATGTTCACTAATACATTAGTCTATGACACTAACCATTGATATTAAGAAATGGAAATGTCTCTTGAATAGGGACATGCTGAGATTGATTCAGTTCCTCCTCCTCTTCATCATCAAGATCATTATCCTTTTCATCCCACGGAGCTGAGCCAGTGGAACCTGCAAACAAGCACATTCTTGTGGGCAGTCGATCACTGTGAAACACTGCACTTTATTTCTTGAAAAAATAATGTCATCTTCATACTGGCTCTGCCCAATACTGGAAATTTATTTGTGTATTTTCTGAATGCAAGTAAAAAAAAAAGGAAAAAATCTGATCCACACAGCATACTATTTTCAGTTCAATATATAATTCTAGAAAGGTAAGGATAAATTATTGCCAACATTGGACCGTTTAGCAGGAAACAGGCAACTGTGCACAGCTTTATTAATTTTAGTGCAGATACACTGTGGTTCAAAGTCCTCTTAGTTTAAGTACAGCTGGGCTTACACACAGCAGCTGCTTTCTGCTGCGCACAAAGGCAGCGTGAGAGTTAATGCCGCGAAGGGAAAGGAACTCGTGTTGGACAAACGCCTGCTCAGTAACCGTCCCTGTGTCAGCAAGGCCCTCACCTGGATTAATGATTGATCCCTGGGACTGCGGGATATCGCACACTTCATAAATTTTAATAGGATTCATGGGCACCTCCTTGGTGCCATCATACATCAAATTAAATTCCCGGCTTTTGTTAAGAGCGCATCGGAGCTGGGCTTTCCACTTTGCAGGGTCAGGCTCATCGACTCCTTCCTGGTACTTTCCCGTTTCCACAGCCCATGCCTGGGGACAAAGTACACTGTGCTCAGTCCAGCCCTCTCAACAGACCAGCTTTTATCAGAAATCAAACTTCGAAACAAACTCTCTGTCAAATTCTTGTCTTACAGAAGTCTTTAACTATAGCTCTTCTGATAACAACGGAAATTCCCGCTTTAATATTTTTTTCCCATTAAAAGAAGGGGGAGAAAAAAAGATGTAAATCCAGATTTCCAAAAACCATTAACCGTTCTGAACACACATCTTCATACAAGTTAAGAAAATATAAATTGTACAGGATTGTGCACTGAGTTTTTCCAGGTCTCAGGTTCGCTACCAAAGTTTGACAGTGAGCCGTACCCTGGCACAGGAGGAACGGGCTTGGTTAAACGGAGTGGACGAGCAGCCCCGGACATCCAGCCAGGCCTCTCTGTCTCACCCCAAAATCAGACTATCAGTCCAAGATCCCTCCAAGGCAGAGGTCAGGAATTCCTCAAAGGAGTGCAGGACCTACGATGAATCCCTTGGGATAAGAGTACTGGGGACAGCAGCGATGAGTACTGGAAGTTTGTGGTGGACCTCTTAAGATTGATGTAACAGTATTGAATGGCTTGCTGCTAAGAGCAAGCTAGTTTCCACGTCCTAAACCAAGCAGATGAAGCCAATAGCAGTAATCTTCCAGGGTCCAAGCCATCAGACATCACCTGGGCTTTGCTGGTCAGAAGGGGTTAAAGAACTCAACACCATTTCAGGCAGTGCCAAGCCTGGCATCCAGGTGCACAAAGTGGCTTTTCTGAGGTCAAAGAAATAGGACAAAATGTGCCTGGAAACAGCTACCGAGATGCCTGCCCAGCTCCTGGGCCAACAATTCAACCCTTTGTCTCTGTGTAAGAGCCGTGATATACCGGAGCTCTCCCCTCCCTCACCTTGAAGATGGTGTTCTCCTCCTCGTGCTGCGG